AGCTCGGTGTCTCAGGTTGAATGCAGGGCTTGCAAAGAATTTCTGGGCAGAGGCAGTGAATATGGCATGTTTCTTGATTAACAGATCACCGAGGGCAGCACTAGATGGGAAAGTATCAGAGGAGGTGTGGACAGGCAGTGAGGTAGACTACTCTGGCTTGAGAGTGTTTGGATGTCCAGCCTATGTACATGTTTCTAGTAGGAGAGGTCGAAGCTTGATGCGAAGTCTAGACAGTGTATCTTTTTGGGATATCAGAAAGGAGTGAAAGGCTTCAAGCTCTGGGATCCGAAGGCAAACAAGACGGTGATCAGTAGAGATGTGGTTTTTGATGAAAAAGCCATGTTGCAGCGTACTCAGGAAAAAGAGAAACAAGTACCAGAAAACTGTAGCACTAATGACCACGTGGTGCAGGTGGAGCTAGAGAATCATGGTAGAGAAGAGGATGCTCAGAATGTAGAGCGTTCTATCTCAGGTGATCAACAACATCATAGTATAGCCACAGACAGGCCCAAACGCAATATCAAGCCACCTACCAGGTATGGTTTTGAAGATTTGGTTTCTAATGCGCTTATTACTAGTAGCGGGGATCCTACAACTTTTCAGGAGGCAGTACAAAGCCAAGAGAAAAGTAGATGGATGGGTGCTATGGTGGAGGAGATGGAGTCTCTGCATAAGAACCAGACGTGGGAGTTGGTGGAACTTCCTGAGGGGAAGAGAGCAATAGGGTGCAAATGGGTGTATAAGAAGAAAGAAGCAGTATCAGAAAATGAGGGAGAAAAATTCAAGGCTCGTCTAGTAGCAAAGGGTTACTCACAGAGAAAAGGGGTTGACTATGATGAGATCTTCTCCCCCGTGGTCAGACACACTTCCATCAGGACAGTGTTGGCACTAGTAGCACATTCAGATATGCAGTTGGAGCAGATGGATGTAAAGACAGCTTTCCTTCATGGCGACTTGGAGGAACGGATTTACATGGTACAGCCAGAAGGGTTCAGTCTTCCTGGAGAGGAACATTTGGTCTGTAATTTGAAGAAATCACTTTATGGGCTGAAGCAGTCTCCGAGGCAGTGGTACAAACGATTTGACTCTTACATGATCCGAATTGGCTACAAAAGGTGTGAGTATGATTGTTGTGTCTATGTAAAAAGGCTTGATGATGATTCATTTATTTTTCTGTTACTTTATGTGGATGATATGTTGATTGCTGCCAAGAGTATGAGTGAGGTCAACAAGTTGAAGACTTTGTTGAGTAGAGAATTTGACATGAAGGATTTGGGTGCGGCCAAGAAGATTCTTGGGATGGAGATTCGCAGGGACAGAGCTTCCAGGAGATTATGGCTATCTCAACATAGCTATGTTGAGAAGGTGTTGGACAGGTTCAACATGAGTTATGCAAAATCAGTAAGTACACCTTTGGCGAATCATTTCAGATTGTCTACCGCTCAGTGCCCGAAGACAGATGATGAAGTTCATGACATGTCAAAGGTCCCATATGCTAGTGCAGTGGGGTGTTTGATGTATGCTATGGTTTGTACAAGACCATATTTGGCACAAGCTGTCAGCGTGGTTAGCAAGTTTCTTTCAAATCCTGGTCGACAGCATTGGGATGCAGTCAAGTGGATTTTCAGATACTTGAGGGGCACTACAGACTATGGCATCAGGTTTAGCAGACAACAGAGTGACCCTTCAGTTATGGGATATGTGGATGCAGACTATGCAGGAGACTTGGATGACAGGATGTCTACCACAGGTTATGTGTTTACTCTTGTGGGAGGACCTATTTGTTGGAAGTCCATGGTACAGCCTATAATTGCACTATCTACTACTGAGTCAGAGTATATGGCAGTAGCTGAGGCTGCCAAAGAGGCTTTGTGGCTTACAGGTTTAGTCAAGGAGCTGGGTGCCCAGCAAGGTGGAGTTCAATTGCATTGTGACAGTCAGAGTGCCATTTATTTGGCAAAGAACTAGGTGTATCATGCGAGGACCAAACATATAGATGTGAGGTTTCATAAGATCAGGGAATTGGTTTCTTCTGGTGAACTATTACTTGAGAAAGTTCACACTTCTGAGAATGCTGCAGACATGTTGACAAAGCCTGTTACTACAGACAAGTTCAAGCACTGCTTGGACTTGATTAATGTCTCTAGTTGCTAGATGGGAGATGCCTCAACTCAGCGTCCCCGGTGGAGTTCCCGAATACATGTCCTCTTTTTTTCTTCTAAGGGGTGAATATTTGCCAAGGTGGAGATTGTTAGAGTATGTGTGGCTCATATTTTGCTATGTGCATAATGGCAAGGAGGCAGATGCCGGAGCCCGCGACGGCATCTGCCTTGCGGGATTTATATATAGGGGACGCTGATAAGTTGGGGGTGCGGGGGCAACGCCCCCGCGGTACGGTACAGGGGTATTTTTGTAAATACGTCCATATTAGGGTTATATAAATACTTAAGATGTAACCCTACTTCAATAAGAAAAAGAACAGCCGCTCGCTCTCGTGGATGTAAGCACATTGCCGAACCACGTAAATCTCTGTGTTATTTTCTCCTGCTTTCTTAATTGTTTGATTCCTTACTATTCACCATAATTGCTGCACGATCACAACAGTTGCCTCTGCACGTAAATTGTTTGATACTATGCCTGAAAAGAGTTTGGTTTCTTTGACAGCAATGATCACGGGTTATGTGAAAACATGGGGATGTCGATGAGGCACGGGTTTTATTTGATTCAATGGAGGACAGGGATGTTGTGAGTTGGAATGTAATGATAGATGGGTATACTCAGCATGGAAGGCCAAATGATGCTTTTGTTCTTTTCAGGAAAATGTTGAAGGCCAACCTGAAGCCTAATGAAGTAACTTTACTAGCAGTTCTCTCTGCTTGTGGGCAACTTGGAGCACTGGAGTCAGGCAGGTGGGTTCATTCGTACTTAAAGAATAATGGGATTGAGATCAATGTTCACGTGGGTACTGCATTGATTGATATGTATAGCACATGTGGTAGTTTGGAGGATGCACGCTTGGTTTTTGATAAGATTAAGAATAAGGATATTATTGCTTGGAATTCGATGATTGTGGGGTATGCAATGAATGGATTTAGCCAAGAAGCTTTGCAATTGTTCAGTGACATGTGTGGGATGTTGCTCCACCCCACTGATATAACATTTATTGGTATTTTAAATGCTTGTGCGCATGCAGGGTTGGTGTCTGAGGGTTGGGCTTTTTCCGTTCAATGAAAGATGAATTTGGTATTGAACCAAAGATTGAGCATTACAGATGTATGGTGAATCTTCTAGGCCGAGCTGGGCATTTGAAAGAGGCATACCTACTTGTCAAGGGCATGAAGATTGCCCCTGATCCTGTTTTGTGGGAAACATTACTTGGTGCCTGTAGGCTTTATGGAAATATTGGTTTGGCAGAGGAAATTGTAAGGTTCCTTGTGGACCATAATCTAGCCAATTCAGGAACTTACATTCTTCTTTCTAACATATATGCCGCCACAGGCCGTTGGGATGGGGTGGCAAGGACGAGAACCCTGATGAAAGACAGTGGTGTACAAAAGGAGCCGGGTTGTAGCTCAATTGAAGTGAATAATAAGGTGCATGAGTTCCTTGCTGGTAATTTGAGACACCCAAAGAGCAAAGAAATATATATGATGATGGAGGAGGTAAATGGGGTTGGCTTAAGGCTCATGGTTACACACCACAGACAGATATAGTATTACATGATATTGGAGAGATTGAAAAGGAGCAGTCACTTGAAGTTCACAGTAAAAAGTTTGCTATTGCTTTTGGGCTTATTAGTACTCGACCAGGAACTACAATCAAGATTTTCAAGAACCATCGGGTGTGCTCAGATTGTCATGTCGTAACCAAACTCATCTCAAAAATCACAGATCGTAGGATTGTTGTGAGGGATCAGAATCGGTTCCACAACTTTGTGGATGGCTCATGTCTTGTGGTGATTACTGGTGAACTGTATGTATCAATTTCTCCTACCAGAAGCAACAGCTCCTAAGCTGAAGAATATCTCAGTGCTTGGTTGGTTAGCCAACTATACATTATTTAAATTTTAATTATAATTGTTTTGTTTCATGAGTACCATGTTTTTGTTGTCTACAATTTGTCTTGGTCCTTCAAAAATTAACTTTAGATTGTGAAAGTCTAGATTTCTCTACAATTCCCCATGACTAGGTGATTAATTCTGCTTTGGATATTGATCTGTCTTCGCCAGTTTAATAAAATCTGGGCCATCAGTGTTATTGAATGTCACCAAACACAGGCCAGTTTGAACCAAACATATCCCGAGCATCCAGCTAGAGGTGTCCACAGATTTGTACATGCAGACTGAATCTGCCTTCAATACATAGCCTTTTTATTCATTTACTAGCTGGTGACCAATACATGCATTATACACTGTTAATGGCTTGAGGTTAGGAAAAATGGCTTCCTCTAATTGGTGGGATGAAGAGGAAGGTTAGTTGCAATTGCAATATAAAGTGTAGTTCAATTTGCTAATTTGCTGAACTATAATTGATGTGACTTGAGCAAATGGGAAAAATTCTTGGCTACTGGAAGAGGGGGGGAGGTTAAAGATTGTGCCTGAATTTTCAAATAATTTTTAGCCTCACTACTTGGTGAAAACTGCCCACTGAAGTCCATAAGTCAATTTGGTCAGTATAAATAATGTTTGAAGTCATAGCAGGTTTTATGGGATAATAATGGGTTTGCAAACTCATCTCTCAATCTTGGTATGATGTAGGTAAATTGCAATACAATAGAAGACTGGAAATTTCAATTTTGACTTCAAATAAACAAGTGAAAAAGTAATTTATAAAAAAATAAAATAAAAAACAACGAATTTTCGATATTACTCTAACAATCAAATTAAGGGAAGAGAGACTCCGAGTTTAATCACTGCTATTCATTTACTAACCACTGCTATTCATTGGACAGTTTAATTTTAAATTTCGGGGCAGTAAGAGAAATTTGGAGGCGGGGAAGAAATGTCATTCTTGGCCAACAACCCCTTATCTCTGAGCGTCCCCGAGCCAGCATTCGAGTCGTGGCTAAGAGACCGCGGCTACCTCGAAATCCTCGACCAACAAACTTCTGACCTCCACCGCCTCTCCACCACCACTTCCTCCTCCTCCTCCTCCGCCACTACCACTAGCTCCGCTACCTTAGTCACTGGTGGATTCTTTTTATCTTTCTGTTCATACATCGGAACCCTACTCTTTCTCTTCACTTTCAATCCCTTCTCCAAGCTCACCTCCGACGACTTCTCCGGCGATACTCCCTCCTGGACTTTTCGATTTATCGGTTCTTCAGATTCCTACTCGCTCCCTTCGTCGACCTCTCAGGCTCGATTGAGAGTCCACGAAAATGTCAAGCGCTTTGCTCGCAATTATGCCTCTCTCTTCATCCTCTTCTTCGCTTGCTCTCTGTAAATACTCTTTCTCTGTCTGTACACACATAAGACACACAAACGTAGTTCTTTGTCAAAATTTAGCATTGAAATTTAGAGCTAATTTAGGTTAAATTCATGGAATTGCTTTTATTGTAGTTCTGGTTTACTGCTTTCTGCGCTAAATTTTTTGAATTTTGTGATTCTGAAAGAATGAAAGAAAGTATTGTGCATTATTTGCTTTATATTTATTTGGTTTTAGGTATCAAATGCCCCTTGCTCTTGTTGGGCTGATATCATGTTTGGCGCTTTGGGATCTGTTCAGATTTTGGGGTGATCGATGGGGATTAGATCGATACCCTCTATTTCGACTAAGCTTGGGTCGAGTTGCTCAATGTGGCGAGTTTGTTCATCTTTAGTTACATCATTTTCCTTGCTTTGATAACATTCATAGGTATTTTGGTGTCATAGAAAGAGAGAAACTCCCTTGGAGCACTCAGATATACACTCAAAGCCAGCAATCTCTATATTAGTCTTGCCAATATTTATGCTGGTTGGAAATGCAAATGCTCTTGCATTGTCGCAAATTGTGATCCTAGTGGTGAAGTGGATTGATTTTTGATCAGTACTCACTGGGGTTAGTGCAAAAGCTTTTATTTAGATGCTGCTAGTTAGTCTCTTGGACTAGGGTAAGGAATTTAAATGGGGTGGCCATTTCTTTTGATATTTGAATCTCAAATATGATTTATTCAAGCAATGGCTTGCTTTTTATTACCCTTCAAAGAGAGCCTAAGCAATACCCTGCCACACCTGGTAAAGTCCTTTTCGTCCCTGGTTTACCCAGGTGGGCAAACAGTCCCCTGGTCCATTGGTCCATTGGTCCAATGTAAGTTTATCAAGAAAATATGATGTCCCATTATCGTATGATGAAATATCTTATTCCTTTAAAGAAATGATGAAATATCCTCTTGATCAGATTGACGATTTTGACTTAGATGAAGGATGCTTTTCAAAGGTACTTTCCATACCCTTGTGTTTGAGTGAGAAGGATCAGAATATTCTTGCTTTCAGTGGTTTTGTATTGGTAGTCTGAATGAGAGAGAAACCCCACTGATAGATTTTTTAGGTTGTTTGGAGAAATTCATTTTTACATGCAAATTCAGTTTCACTACCATGACAAATTTTACGATTTTGTGTTTGGAGGTTCCTCTACTTCCGTTGATCTTGTTCATGTGCAAGGGAGTTAGGGTATAGTTGAAGGTGATTCCGCTAATTCCCTTAGTTGGATTTGTAATGCGTATGGTGGTCCCTGGTGTATCAATCATCTTTTTAGAGACTGCCACACTAACTCTGAGTTTCTTTTACAGAAATTCATGAGTTGAAAATAGTTGTTATAATACTAACACAGACAACTATGTTTATCTTAACTTTTTATTGGTTTCGTAAATCTCATTCCCTGATCAGCTCAGACAAATGTGAATTCAATGAGTGGTGATAACTGTGTTTTGCCCTTGCAGCATCTACAGTTATTTTATTCTTCTCCAATGTTCAAATGGCTCTCTTATGCGCTCTTGGGGTTAGTTATGCAGCTGACTTGGATTTTTTCGTACTTGTAATTTTTTTACAAAGTACCCTCACCACAAACATCAGTTAAGCTACAGAGTGTACGAATTGTGTTTTGGCGCGAGAAATTTGAAAAGCAGCTAATTAGACCATGCCCTCAACTACCATTTTCACAACCCCACCACTAGTCACCACCAGCACCACCCCCACCCAATGTAACTATTCTCTACCCCCTGACAGGCTTGCATTATTGATAGACAAATCCAAAACTATCAGACAAATCCTTCAAATCCACGCATCTCTCATCCGCCATGGCCTGGAAACCCACCCGGTCTTGAACTTCAAGCTCCAGCGATCCTATTCTACCCTTGGCCGCCTTGACTACTCCGTGGCCCTTTTTAACCTCACCCACAACCCCAATGTCTTCTTCTACACCTCCATTATCCACGGGCATGCCGTCAACAATCTCCACGAACAAGCTTTTGAGTTCTATGTCCAAATGTTGACCCACGATGTCGAACCCAATGCATTCACATTCTCGTCCATCCTCAAAGCCTGCCCACTTGAATCTGGAAAAATTCTCCATTGCCAAGTCCTCAAACTCAGATTTGATTCTGATACGTATGTGAGAACAGCTCTTGTTGATGTCTATGCTAGAGGTGGTGATGTTGCCTCTGCACGTAAATTGTTTGATACTATGCCTGAAAAGAGTTTGGTTTCTTTGACAGCAATGATCACGGGTTATGCGAAACATGGGGATGTCGATGAGGCACGGGTTTTATTTGATGCAATGGAGGACAGGGATGTTGTGAGTTGGAATGTCATGATAGATGGGTATACTCAGCATGGAAGGCCAAATGATGCTTTTGTTCTTTTCAGGAAAATGTTGAAGGCTAACCTGAAGCCTAATGAAATAACTCTACTAGCAGTTCTCTCTGCTTGTGGGCAACTTGGAGCACTGGAGTCAGGCAGGTGGGTTCATTCGTACTTAAAGAATAATGGGATTGAGATCAATGTTCATGTGGGTACTGCATTGGTTGATATGTATAGCAAATGCGGTAGTTTGGAGGATGCACGCTTGGTTTTTGATAAGATTAAGAATAAGGATATTGTTGCTTGGAATTCGATGATTGTGGGGTATGCAATGAATGGATTTAGCCAAGAAGCTTTGCAATTGTTCAGTGACATGGGTGGGATGTTGCTCCACCCCACTGATATAACCTTTATTGGTATTTTAAATGCTTGTGCGCATGCAGGGTTGGTGTCTGAGGGTTGGGCCTTTTTCTGTTCAATGAAAGATGAATTTGGTATTGAACCAAAGATTGAGCATTACGGATGTATGGTGAATCTTCTAGGCCGAGCTGGGCATTTGAAAGAGGCATACCAACTTGTCAAGGACATGAAGATTGCCCCTGATCCTGTTTTGTGGGGAACATTACTTGGTGCCTGTAGGCTTTATGGAAATATTGGTTTGGCAGAGGAAGTTGTAAGGTTCCTTGTGGACCATAATCTAGCCAATTCAGGAACTTACATTCTTCTTTCTAACATATACGCTGCCACAGGCCATTGGGATGGGGTGGCAAGGATGAGAACCCTGATGAAAGATAGTGGTGTGCAAAAGGAGCCGGGTTGTAGCTCAATTGAAGTGAATAATAAGGTGCATGAGTTCCTTGCTGGTAATTTGAGACACCCAAAGAGCAAAGAAATTTATATGATGCTGGAGGAGATAAATGGGTGGCTCAAGGCTCATGGTTACACACCAGAGACAGATATAGTATTACATGATATTGGAGAGATTGAAAAGGAGCAGTCACTTGAAGTTCACAGTGAAAAGTTTGCTATTGCTTTTGGGCTTATTAGTACTCGACCAGGAACTACAATCAAGATTTTCAAGAACCTTCGGGTGTGCTCAGATTGTCATGTCGTAACCAAACTCATCTCAAAAATCACAGGACGTAGGATTGTTGTGAGGGATCGGAACCGGTTCCACCACTTTGTGGATGGCTCATGCTCTTGTGGTGATTACTGGTGAACTGTATGTATCAGTTTCTCCTACCAGAAGCAACAACTCCTAAGCTGAAGAATATCTTAGTGCTTGGTTGGTTAGCCAACTATACACTATTTAAATTTAAATTATAATTGTTTGTTTCATGAGTACCATGTTTTTGTTGTCTATAATATGTCTTTGTCCTTCAAAAATTAACTTTAGATTGTGAAAGTCTAGATTTCTCTGCAATTTCCCATGACCAGGTGATTAATTCTGCTTTGGATATTGATCTGTCTTCACCAGTTTAATAAAATTCGGGCCATCAGTGTTATTGAATGTCACCAAACACAGGCCAGCTTGAACCAAACATATCCCGGGCGTCCAGCTAGAGGTGTCCACTGTTTTGTACATGCAGACTGAATCTGCCTTCAATACATAGCCTTTTTACTCATTTACTAGTTGGTGACCAATACATGCATTATACACTGTTAATGGCTTGAGGTTAGGAAAAATGGCTTCCTCTAATTGGTGAGATGAAAAGGAAGGTTAGTTGCAATTGCAATATAAAGAGCAGTTCAATTGCTAATTTGCTGAACTATAATTGATGTGAATGGAGCAAATGGGAAAAATTCTTGTCTACTGGAGGGGGAGGAAGGTTAAAGATTGTGCTTGAATTTTCAAATAATTTTTAGCCTCACTACTTGGTGAAAACTGCCCACTGAAGTCCATAAGCCAATGTGGTTATTATAAATAATCTTTGAAGTCATAACAGGTTTTATGGTATAATAATGGGTTTGCAAACTCACCTCTCAATCTTGGTATAATGTCGGTAAATTGTAATACAATAGAAGAGTGAAAATTTCAAGATTGACTTCAATTCAACAAGTGAAAGAGTAATTTATCTATACTTCTTTAAAATATCAACATAGTTGAAAAACATTTTTTTTCCACCTTTATCCTTTAACAAAGCAAGTATGACAACTTTATCCTTCAAAAAATTAATTGCATATTAAACTTAATAATTTTATTCTTTCATAGAATGCCTCCTAAATACCTAACGTGTAAATTTTATTCATTAAATGGCCTTGACTCAATCTCCCACATAGGCGCCCTTTCATCTATCTTTTTTTCCTGGCTGAAGTTAATGCACACTACCACCCTTTGTCTCCCTCACTTTGTCTGCTAAAGTTCTCTAACCTTCGGGTACCGCTTGCTGGTTCATTATTCTACATGTTACCACAATTGCTACATCAGTCGCGATTGGGATCTAAATATTTGCCAGACAGCATTGTTGTTCTTCACCTGGTGCTATATTTTTCTTCACACACGGATACACCGTCATTGTTGCCATTGCTGAACCAGCAGTGCTCCTTTTCTTCTTCAACAGGTACTCCATTTCTTCTTCAACAGGCACTTCATTTCTCTTTACTAATTATTTGAGCATAACCTGATATAACATATCCATTTTGTGTTTGTTTTCCGGGTCAGTACCACTAACAATCTCAAATTGCATGTGCTTTGTTTGAGCACCTGCATTTTCTAATGCTATGCATTTTACCCACTGCAATACCCTATTCAATGAATGCTGATTAAATTTCTGGCTTATAAGTAGTAGTTTTCTTTTTTTTTAATGGTTTATTTATGCCGCAAATCACTTTCTTTGTTCATGTGGTCCCACCATGTGGGGGCATGAATGCTTTCTGTTGGAGTATATATAGTCTAGGTTTATTAGGATTTCTTTTCCCTTTTTTACCCTTATTATGATTTTTATATTTTGCCTAAACTACAAGGATGTTTAAGTCACTCTGTATTATTTTTGGATATATATACGGGGTTCTACTCTTAATTTGAGAACCTCCTTTTACTCACAATTATTTCAAGTTGGTATCAGAGCCAAAACCCTAACCCCAGCCCCCACTCCATCGACACAGCTAACAGCAACCATCCACCGACACCACATCGATGCCCTACCAGCGGCAAGCTTCACACACCGACAAGCACCCAGTGAACGAAGAACTGCCTGCCCATCACCGACAAACCCATAACACCAACAAACACACTATCACCGATAGCTTCAACACCAAACCAGCCTCCACCGACAATCACCTAGCGACAAACCCACTGCCCCAAGACTACTTCGTCCTCCACCGACTTCATAAACCCGAACAATAAACTGCCCAGTCCCACCGAAAAACAGACCCAGTCCAACCACTGAAAAATAGACCGGCCACCAAGACCCAGCCACCAATACCCACCGACAAATCCACTCCAGACCAGCCACCAAGACCCAGCCGAACAACAGACCGGCCGAATGCCCAAACCCAACCGACTGCCCAAACCAAGTAACCGACTGACTGCTCACTTATTTATACCAAACAATATATAGATCACTTATTTATTTCAACCAGCCCACTGTTCATTAAACTCATAGTTTTGTGTTGTTTTTGTGCACTTGATTATTTGGGACCATAAGACCTTTAAGAGGGGTTGTGATTTTATTCTAGGACTTTTTTGGGAGGGAGCGGATCCTCTTTTCTGTTGATCTGCCCTTGATGCAGTAGATCACTTATTTATATATTTTGGATTTCTGGGCACCGTGACTTGATTATTTGGGAGCTTTTTGGACCTTCCCTATTTGTCGCTACTGTTCGACTGAAGGTATATTGTTCTCCCTTATTTTATTCCTCTATTTATCTTAGAGTTATTTTTCTGTCACGGGTGCCCTAGTATTGTTGTTGATATGGCTACTACTGAGGGACTTGAGAACCCTACTGTGGACACCTCTACCGTTGAGACATCTATGGGTACTTCCACTTTTATATTTGACCAGTATACAGTGCCTACTAGCACAATTGTATTACCAGCATTACCGGGCATGATCTCTCAAAAAGTTACGGCACAATTGTTGAATGGTCGTAACTTCGCTGAGTGGTCACGCTCATTCCAGCTTTTCTTAGGCCGTGTAGGGAAGCTTGGTTGGCTGACGGGATCTCACCCAAAGCCAGCTGATGCCGACCCTGGATATTCTGCATGGTTATCTGAAAACTGTGCCATTCTTGGATGGTTATTTGGCTCAATGGAGCCCTCTGTTTGCAGGATCCACCAGTTTCATAGCTCTGTTCCGAAGCTATGGAGCGCATTATCAGAGATGTATTCTCAGTCAGGACGGGGAGTTCGTGTTTATGAGCTTTCTCAGGAGCTCTCATATGCTCGGCAGGGAGATATGACCGTTCAGGATTATTATGGCTATTTGACCCAGCGCTGGCTTGAGTATAAGTCTCTACGTCCTCTTGCTGCTATTCCGAAGATAGAGCCCGAGGGAGCAGCATTCTTGCATACTCGAGAGCAGGAGGATAGGATTCACAAGTTCCTTATGGGGCTTCGTGATGAGTTTTAGGGACCTCGTTCTCAGATCTTGTCGATGTTGACACTTCCTTCTCTTTATGAGGTGTATGGGATGATTGAGCAGCATGAGCGTCGAGTCCGTATTGCATCACTTCCAGTTGCAGCTTTGCCTCCTTCGATTGACCAGATGGCCCTTGCAGCTGCTGTAGGGTCCCGTTCAGGATCCTTAGTCAGGGATAGGCAACGCTCAGACCAGCGCCGTCAGGGCGCCCCAGATCAGCGCAGACGGGGGGATTCCCGTCAATGTGATTATTGTGGCCGACCAGGACATCTCAGGGCTACTTGCTGGAAGCTCCATCCAGAGCTTAAGCCACCTTCTCGCAGCCGTACTGTTGCTATTGCTGAGGTACCACCGCCCACTACCGCCACTCCTGCTACTGCTCCTCCTTGGCAAAGTGATATGGATGCTATCACTTCCCGATTAGATATACTTATGTCTGCTCTGACTTCTCAGAGTCTGACTACTGCTGCTGTCACCACTACAGGTATATCTCGTGCCTTTCACGCTTGTGCCAGTTCATCTCCCCTTTGGATGTTGGACTCGGGTGCGAATGGTCACATGACAGGTGAGGCCCATCACTTCACCACTTTTGACGAGCCATTACATACACAGGTTCAGTTAGCAGATGGAACACATGCCCCTATTGTTAGTAGGGGTACAGTCCGTCTCCCAGATGGCCTTACATTACATTCGGTTTTTCATGCGCCAAAGTTGGCCATGAATCTATTATCTGTACATCAGTTAGCCAGAGATTTTCACTGTGCGGTTGTATTCTTATCTGATTCGTGTTATTTGCAGGACCTGAGTACCAGGAGGATTATTATCAAGGGACATGAGAAAGATGGACTGTATTATCTTGGCAATCCATCTCCAGTTTCACCAATTCCTTCACCTGCACCTGCTTTGTCTTTTTCTGTTCCTAGCTTGCATGCTAGTATTTTACCTAGTAGTTGTCGTTATGATTTTTCGTCACAAACTGTTCAATTGTGGCATGACCGTTTTGGACATACAAATTTTAAATATTTATGTATGTTGTTTCCTGCTTTGAGTAATGCTTGTGTTGGTGGTAAACTTGATTGCGTTATCTGTTCCCTATCAAAACATGTTAGGGCCAATTATATTCCTCGCATGCACCAGTCACCCAAGCCATTTGACCTAATACACTCTGATATTTGGGGACCCTCTCCCGTTACTGCTCTGTCAGGTGCCAGATATTATGTGACATTTATAGATGATCATACCCGTTGTACTTGGGTCTACCTTTTGCATAGGAAGTCTGATGTGCTCCCTATAATCACTCAGTTTTTACAGATGATTAAGACACAATTCGATGTCATTGTTCGTGCTCTTCGTTCGGATAATGCCAAAGAATATGTGTCTGATGCTTTAGTGTCTCACCTTTCTTCTCAGGGTATCCTTCAGCAACTCACTTGTCCATATACTCCTGCGCAAAATGGTGTTGCTGAGAGGAAAAATAGGAGTTTGATAGGGATGGTACGTTGTCTGCTTAGAGGCATGAGGGTACCAAAATCTTATTGGCATTTTGTTGTTTTGACTTCTACCTTTCTGTGCAATCGTACGCCGAGTCGTGTTCTTCAGCATAAGGCTCCCTTACAGGTCTTATTTCCTGAGCGGACAC